ACCCACCTCCCCATGTTCATGCTGGGATTCTGTCTGGCTTGAGCTTATATGGGACTTGTGCGTGTTGTCACCATTGCTGTGAATTCATATGAGTTACTGTCTAGCTGTCTGAGATACTATTTCCCTGTAGTTATCCACCACCTGTGGCTCTTAATTCTTTCTGACCACTCATTCGAGATTATTCCTATATTCTTGATTTAATTTTGGTAAGTTATGTGTGTCTAGAAATTAATCTATTTTTTCTAGATTCTGCAGCTTTTTGCAGTACACATTTTCAAAATATCCCCTAAATATTCTCTGGATTTCATTAATGTCTGTGGCCATATTCACTTTTTCATCTTGAAGTTTTTTACGATTTTTACTTTGTTGATTCTTTGTATTGTTGTTTTAGTCTCTATCTCATTAAATTATGCCTTGATCTTTAATATTTCTTTCTTTTTTTAACTTTTACAAAAAACTTTGTTGAGAATTTCATACATGCATATAAGGTGTTTTGATCAAATCCATGCCCACTCCCGCCCCTCCAACATTCCCCCCTCTGAAGAGATAACCCTAAAATCTTTTAAGGATTAGATACAAGCTCCCAAATACTTTTGACATTTTTGGCCTTTGGAACAGAATATGTTGCTAACAGGCCCAAAGACATTTTGACATTTAGCCAAGAAACTGCCTACATTCCTTTGGGTCTTTTACCCTAACTGCCTAGCTAATTCCTACCTCCTATTCTTATCACGCCATCCTCTGAAGGGGTTGCCCAAATTGCCTATAGGGAATAGGGATACAGACCACTCTGGCTTCTCCCATGCTGAACAGGGACGCAGGGTGAGGCAATTGGAGTACTCCTTCAGTGGGTCTATCTAAAAGTGAATGGGAGATGTGAAGGTAAGAGTAATTAGCATTACAAGTTCTAGACAGGGAACTAGAAAAAAGTCAGAACAGGGCAATTTTCAAATGTTCATATGAGAGTCCATTGGAGTTTCTTGACAGGGGCTTCCAAAAGCATCCCTCTATTGGGTTCTTCCTCATTTTTCTTTTGTCTTCTAAGGCTGGACTAGTTGGCTGGGAAGAGTGGCTGGATACTCAGGTGAGGAATGAGTGACCCTGCTTGGCACTCCTTTAATGAACGAGCACAGCCGTCAACAAACCAAATTGTGACTCTGTTTAGCGATCAGGCTCAGCTGAAGTTGTGATGATGGTAGTTATTTCATGCAGAAGGGACTGCTGTATAGCATCATGTTATTAAAAGGACCTGGAATTTAAAAGGATTTGGTGCTAGGAGCCACATATGAGGGAGAACATACATCCTTTGTTTTTTTCCGAGTCCATCTTACTTCACTTAGTATAACAGTTTTTAGATCCATCCATTTACCTGCAAATTTCATTAATTTCATTACTTCATCTTTCTTTACTGCTGAATAGAACTCCATTGTTTGAATGTACCACATTTTTGTTAACCACTCGTCAGCTGAGGGACACTTAGGTTGCTTCCATATCTTAGCTATTGTGAAAAGAACAGCAACAAACATGGTTGTACAACTGTCTCTACAATAGGATGAGTCCTTCGGGTATATGCCAAGGAGTGGTATAACCAGGTCATATGGTAGGTTCATTTTTAGTTTGTTAAGAGTTCTCCACACTGTTTCCCATAGAGGGTGCACGAGTTTGCAATCCCACCAGCAGCGAATGAGCGTTCCCCTTTCTTCACATTCTCACCAGCATTTGGTATCATTTGTTCTCTTGATCCTACCCAGTCTGATCAGGGTAAGGTGATACCTTAGCGTGGTTTTAATTTTCGTTTTCCTAATTACTAACGGTGTTGAACACTTTTTGAGATGTTTTGTAGCTATCTTTGTTTGAGAACTCTCTGTTTAGATCTTTAGCCCATCTTTTAATTGGGTCATTTGTTTTCTCGATTCTTTGTTTTTTGAGTTCTTTATATATATTGGATGTTAAACCTTTGTCAGGTTAAGATTTTTTTCCCCATTCTATGGGTTTTCTTTTCATGTTTTTGATTATTTTGCTGTACAGAAGCTTTTTAGTTTAATGAGGTCCCACCTATTGATTGCTGACCTTAATTCCTGAGCAACTTCTGTCTAGAAAATCCTTACCTACACCTATATCCTGTAAGTTACTGCCAATATTTTCTTCTAATAGTTTCAGGGTTTCCGGTTTCACATTGAGGTCTTTATCCATTTGGAGTTGACTTTTGTGCAAGGTGAAAGATAAGCATCTAGTTTCATTCTTCTACAGGTGGAGATGCAGTTTTGCCAGCACCATTTTTGAAGATGCGGTCTTTCCTCCATTGTGTGTTCTTTCTCTTTACTGCTTTTGGATTTTGTTTTTGTTCTTTTAAGTCTTCAGTAATTTGAATTCTGATTTTTTTTATTTAAATACTCAGTTACAAACTTTCCTTTGTTGTGCCTCAAAGGTTCTAATAAATTAATAAATAAACAAATTTTAATTTTTACTTGTTTCTAGAAAAATTAAAATGTCCTCTCTAATTTCTTCTGAGTCACTAATCATTCAATAATGTATTTTCCAGTCTCCATTTACTTGTATTATTTCTGAGTTTCTCTTCCTAATGAATTCTACTTTTATTCTGCAGTGATATGGTACAAAATTATGATCCATACACATAAAATAAAATAGTAAATAAAATACTTTTTAAAAGAAAGAATAGGGGTAAAATAAAAGTAAAAACATATGAACTTAAAATTATAGGGAGTAGTGTTGTGCCTGGTGCTTTAATCCCAGCACTTCAGAGGCAGAGGCAGGCAGATCTGTATGAGTTCAAGTCCAGCCTAGTCTACATAGTGAGTTCTAAGCCAGCCCCACTACAAGGAGACCCTGTCTCAGAAAGACCAAAAAAAATTTATAGGGAATAAATAGGGAAAACACAGAGGGCAAAAATATTAGATTCAAAAAGGATGAGAGCAGCTTCTCTCTCTGGGTCCTCTCATATTGGACGCTGCTAGGTGGAAAGGGTAGTCATTTAAACTTGGAATCTCTTGTCTTCATACTATTCAAACAGATGCTGAGCCCAGACCTGCCAAGGCTCAACCATCCAGTTATACATTCACTTTAGGGGCTTCCGTTCTTTGCATACCAGTAGCTACTTCTGTCCATGCTTTGCAGCCTGTTTGCTGGGCAGATTCTCATTTGTCCAGAGACTTCCATGTATGCACTCTGGGGTGGCTAATATCTAGGTCAAGGATTGTCTTCTGAATGTATTGGCCATTGGGGAGCAAACAGAACACTGAGATCTGTACTGAAGAATGGGTCTCAGTGCCTTTAAATCCTCTTCAGCATTAAATGGCCTATGAGACAGAGGAGGCTGTGGAAATTGAGAGAAACCCACTAAACCCGAACTTCAGAGTTCTCAGTCCTGCTGATGGAAAACCACAGGACAGAGGGGCAGCCCCAGCTTTCCAGCCACCCACTGACCTTGGGCTTGAGGCTATCACTCTCCGTAGTTATCCTTAGCTAATAGACTGCTTCTTGCCACAGAGGGTGGGGCACAACCATCCCTATGCCCTTCTAGCCTCAGCTTTGTGCTGCTTGAACTTCTCAGCATGGCATCTCAATATCAAACAGTAGGCCCCTGCTCAAGATGGCACCTAACTAGCCCTCTAAGGTATGGAGAATGGCAATATGGATTTCTTCACTGTTGACTTGTCGTGTAGGTGGAGTCACTGTCACACTAAATCCCCCACCTGGATTTAAGGCTTGTGAGAACTGTGGACTTGTCTTGTGGCTATGGCAGTCAATCTTTATTTTCCCAGGATTTACCTGTGTATGAGACCTCAGCTTCTCCTCCCCTGCCAGGGAGCTGGGTGGATTGCTTCCTCAGCTGTACATAGCCTGTTTGTCTGAGCTTTTCATCTATCCTGCCATTAGTTTTGTGATTTCAGATGTTCTTCCTTCTTCCTTTTCTGCCTTCAGAATAGAATCTGCTTGTTATTATCTTGCTTGTTCTCATTCATGGTATCACATAAAAACCGCAAAGTTCCTTCCTGCCTTCCCTCCTTCCCTCCTTCCCCCTTCCCACTTCCTACCTCCCCCCTTCCCTCCTTCCCTCCTTCCCGCCTTCCCTCCTTCCCTCCTTCCCCCTTCCTACCTTCCCACCTTCCCTCCTTCCTGCCTTCCTTCCTGCCTGCCTGCCCACCCAACCTTCTCCCTCCTTCCCTCTCTTTCCCTGTTTCTTTCCTTTCTTCCTTCCCTCTCTTACTTCCTTCCCCCTCTGTACGATTTCTTTTAGACATCTGTATTTTCCCAACAAAATTGTCTTTTTCCTTGACTGATGTTTATGTGATTTGGGGGAGGGGCTGTGTGTATATGTTCTTTTGTGTGTGTATGTATGTGTCTATGTGTGCAGATGCATGTGTGTGGGTATATGTGCTTCTGGAGGCCAGAGGACAACCTCAGGTGTCATTCCTCAACTGCAGTCCACCTGTTTTCTGAGACAGGGTCTCTCATTGACCTGCAGTTTACTGAATAGTTTAGGCTGATTGCCCAGCAAGCCCCAGGGATCAGGGATCAGTCTCCACATCCCCAGTGCTGGGATTCAAAGTACGAGCTACCATGCTCAGTCTTTTTGTGTGTGCCAGGACAGGGGCTCACTATGTAGCCCTGGCTAGCCTGGAGCTTGTTATGTAGACCAGGCTGGTCTCTTAACTTGCAGAGATTTGCCTGCCTCTGTCTCTGGAGTACAAGGATTAAAGGCAGGCGCCATCACTCCCAGCACAGAAGTTTTTTTTTAAATTTGGTTCTGGGGAATTTTGCACAGGGCCTCATGCTTAAGGGTACTCACTTTACTGACTGAGCTGTCTCCCCAGACCCTGGTTATTTAATTTTTGATGATGAATTGGCAATTTCAGCTCCTGGGCTTATCAGTCATAGGTTTCTGGAAGCTTTAACAATTAGTCCTTTCTCGTGGGAGATGGAAGGAGATCAAATGCTAATAAATATTGTTTGAATGATTTATATTGATCCTTGTCCAGAAAAAGAAAAGATGAAATGAGAAAAGCCCAAGAAAAGAAAAAGAAGGCCAGAGACAGGAGGCGAGCCCTGAAGGAAAGGGACAAACACCGGCAAAGAAAGGAGAAGGTGAAAGGCAAAGCTGAGGTGCCTCAGGAACTGGACTCTTCAGAGGAGTGGGAGGAGAGGAAGTACTTGCTGGCTCAGAGGCGGGTTGAGGCCCTTCGGTTGCTCCGGGTACTCCTGAAGAAAATTTCAGTAAGGCTGTTTCCCAATTGCTACTCAGTTTTGGTAGGTACTAGTCTTTCTGAGCCCCAGACTTTGCATTTAAGCACAAACCTGCTAAAAAGCAACTCCAGGAAGACTATGGCATTTGTAGGGGTTTCTTTTAAATTAGTTGATCTTGGATAACCCCAACTGTGAATTTCCAAAACCAGTCTCTAAAACATTTGTGTGGCACCATTTCGTGTTTCTAAACTTCAGGATGGTATTACTCAGAACAGTTTAGCTAGTTTATCCACTTTTCTAAGTTCCTAATGAATGTGACAGAAAAATGCCAGGGGGAAGGCAAAGAGTGGATGTGGGTGTTACCTCTGTAGTCTTCTAACTTTATTAATCTGTAACAGGTTTGGATGAAAAGGGAAAACCTTCGGCCTTGTCAAGCTCATATCAGCCTTGTCTTGAACTATCTGGTAAGGCACTTCTTATCTCAACAATTGCTTTGGTCATGGATTTTCATTTCTGGAAGGCATTTCTCTTCCTTTATGAGCTCCTAAAGATAGCCAGAATCATATATGCCTTAGAATGAAAAAAGAAAATGCTCCCAAAGTGTTAATTTAAAAATCCACGTGTAGCGTTACTAAATATGAGGAGGAGCTGGAGAAATGGCTCAGCAGTTAAGATCACTAGTTGCTCTTGCAGAGGACTCAGGTTTGGTTCATAGCACCGTTGCGGTGTCTGACAACCATCAGTAACTCCAGTTGCAGGAAATCTGGCACCCTCTTCTCACCTCTGCAGATATTGCACAATATGGTGCATTTACATACATGCAGGCAAAACACTCATGCACATAAGAATAACTAAATAAAGTCATTTTTTACAAAGTGAATGCTGTTGCTCTTAAGCAACATGAATTTTATGTCTATTTTCCATCTTGGCCTCTCTCATTACTGTAGACAGCCAAACTTACTGAAAGCAGGCTCAGAAAAACAATCTCACATTTGCCTTTATAATAAGGCTAGCTGGATTGTTTTTTAGTTTACTTCAATGATGGCTAAGCTTTATTCTTTTTATAGAAGTTACCTCTTTAAATGAGTGCAGAGTCTAATTCTGGAACTCATTAGTACCTACACTGATTGTAAGTTAATGGGCAGGAACTGTGCCTTGATGTGTGACAGATAGACATCAGTGGGAACACATGGCAAACCTTCCTGGGTGTGGGAGTGTAGGCAGAACTTCCCCCTGCTCTGTAGCTGGGCAGAAGAGATTTTATCACGAACTTGACCACAGGCAAAACCGTGGACACAGGTATATTTGATACTTGGTATTTTGCTTTGCTTTGCTTACTTTGTAAGGTGCTGGGGTTAGAGCCCAGGACCTCACTCATGCTGTGCAAGTGTTCTATCACTAAGCTGCATCTCCAGCACCCATGTCTTCCTTCTTAATGAGGTAGGCCAGGTGAAGCAACTCAGACAGATCTTCAACTTGCATTCCATAGGAAGAGCCTGAAATACAAAATGGAGGGACAGTTTATCTGTTAAGCCAGTTGGCCCTAGTGGACACATTTTACCTGTCAGTCTTTCCTTGTACTAGGATTTTCTGTGAGGAATACAGATTATTTTCTTTTTTAAACATTTATTTATTTATTTTTATTTTATGTGTATGAGTGTTATGCCTGCATGTATCTAAGTGACCATGTCATACAGTACCCTCAGACATCAGAAGAGGGCATTGGATCCCCTGGAACTGAAGTCACAGATGATTGCTAGCTGCTATGTGGGTGCTGGGATTCGAACTCTGGTCCTCTGCAAGAGCCTCCAGTGCTCTTAACCACTGAGCCATCTTTCCAGCCGATTTTTTTGAGACAAGGTCTCACTATGTAGCCCTGGTTGGCCTAGAACTTACAGAGATCTGCCTGCCTCTGCCTCCAGCATGCTGGAATTAAAGGCATGGGCCATGCCCATGCCACAGAGCACCTCTTATCCCTCTTTGTCTCTGTTGAAGCTATCATAATACCTAAACCAGTAAACTCATCAATTTTGAGCAAGTGGAAGAGCTAGGTGCTTTAAAAGCCAAGACAGAAGAATGGACTCAGACCTAATAAAAACAGCTCATATTAGGTCAAGACATTTAGTTTTAGCATTTTCTGTTTCCTTGGTGCACTATTGTTCCTAATTTGGATCTGTCCCAGGTCTCTTTAGAGCAATACCAGCTCAGTGTTGGGACGTTTTTAATCCGTTTGGGTTTTCTTCCTTTTTTTCACATTTATTTATTTTGCGTGGGAGTTGGGTGGCGGTGCCTGCCACATTGTGCATGTGGAAGGTGGAGGGCAACTTGTAGGAACTGGTTCTCTCCTTCCACCATGTGGGTCTCAGGGAATGAAGGTGAGCCATCTAGATGGTCCTGTTTGGGTTTTTATGAGGGATTGTTATTCTTTTTTTCTTTGAAGGGATCCACACAGTGTAACCCACAGGAGGCTGATATTACAAACCTTGAAGCACCAGGGACCACATTGAAATGTCTGGAGGAAGAAGAGTTAAGCACTCAACATCTTCTGCATCAGGAAGAAATGCCAAGACATCAGGGTTCCAAGTCAGGGAGTAAACAAAAACAGAAAATGAAGAAAAGAACGAGGGCTCAGTTACAGAAATCTTCACACTGCCTCGGGGAAAGAGAAGTAAGATACTCAACGAGAAAAGAGAAAAACAGAAAACTCCCGACTGATGGATGCAATTACAGTCCAGACTCTGACGAGAATACCTTGCAGATTACAGTGCTTCGAGGTCAGTCTCTTGAAAAAGAAGGCCACCAAAGTTCTAATGAACCATACTCTTCTCTACAACCCATGATGCACCTTGGCAAGAAGCCGAAGATCTATGAAACTGATGAATTTATTAACTATCTGTTGAACTATTACCAAACTCCAGAAAATGCCCGATTCTGCCTAGAAGCAAGTCACATCACAAGCACATGTCAGTGGCAGAGGGTTGTCTGTGCTAAAGGGAATGGATTTCAGATCCATTTGAGAAAACATAGGTGCCGCCCAACCAGTCTGAGTGAAATGGAAAACCTGGGAAGGAAAGAACAGGTTGAAGATCATGACTGGTTAAAGATGTCTACTCAGGACCCTGAGCACGACTCACAAAAGAGAAGAAAGATTGGTTATACCAAAGAATTTATTAAGAAATTAAAAATTTATTGCAAGGATACAGCCAGTGAAACTGATGATCTACTGTCCTCAGCTGATGAAGAGAGCCATTCCCTGGAAAAGACTCACACTTACCAAGTCCAAGATTCTCCATACACAAGAAAACGTCAAGTTTCCTCACCTTTGAGTTCAGCAGACACAGATTTGCAATTGACAGACTTCTTGGAGGAAATTAGCAGTGATTCTGAATGCTTCAGTGAAACTCTTACTGCAAAAAAGGAGGAGGAAGAGAGATCTGTGACTGTATATGACAGCTCCCCTGAAAGAAGCTCTTTTAACACTGATGAAACCATCACTTGCAAACAAAAGCATAGGTCAAGGCAGCAGACCCTGTATTCAAAGTGGAAACAGGACAGCGAGGAAAAATACTCTAAACGCAAAGTTAGGACCCCAGGTAAGAGGTCCATGTATGAACTGAGATGTTCATGGCCTGAGGGTGAAAACAGTTCCATTAGGGATGAGAGCGTAAGCAAAACCAGGGAAAAACAAGCCACTAACTACTACTTTGAAGAAGACTACTACCATGAAACCAGTTCCAGTGATGAACCAGAGAACGTCCCAAGAAAGAAGAGGAGAGTGAGTGGTAGTAAATCCTTTCCTATGCCATTAATACTGCCAAAACATGATCGAGCTTTCTGTTTGGGATATCGCCCCAGAAAAAGACAGAATCCTTGGAAGTCAGAATATAACCAGGATGTCAGAGTGTTCAAAAGATATGAAAGTTCTGAAGATTACATGCTTGATTCTGATGATTATTATATGGGCCATGACAGGCAGGGGCACATTGAGTGTGGAAGCTACGTGGGAAGCAGCTACGCTGGCTCCTTGTATTTTAAAATGGTTTGATGAGCACTTTGATCAGGAACAGCCTTATTTACAAGAAACAGTTTGCAAAAAGAAAGACTTAAAACCAAATACAGCTATGTTGTTAGCAACTACAGAGCAAGAACTAGAAGAGAATTAAATGCAATGCCTTTTTCCTCTTGCCAAAGTTTTAAGTATGGGTCAAAATGATTGCAGGTATGTTAGTAAAGTTTGGAAATATAAACCTCTAGATCCTGACACTTTGTAAAACAATGTGCTTGCAAAACTTCATTGAACCAAGGACAAATTTCATTTTACAGCTTTAATTTGGTGCCAGCAAAGAATCAGATTAGCATCAAGAAGGGCTGAGATAGCCTTCTGTGACTTTTGCTGTCATAACATCATGCATCATCTGTCTTCAAAGAGGACAGTAATGGATGGAGATCTTTTACGTGTTCTTTGATTTGTCAGAAGCACTATGTATAGTAACAAACTTTCCTGACTTTCACTTAGGAATAATAAGGCAGATCCAGCAGCTAGAACATAAGAGACGTCTTCGTGACATTAGAATTTCATGAATACCCACCAGAAGGAAATGAATATATTCACAGTACTCAAAAGGTTGTCCTTTTATAGAGAAAGTTTTAGAAGAATCTAAATGGGGCTGATTGTTTTCTGATGGTTAGGTAGACAGGGGACTCTTAGCATTTTTGTTGTTGTTTATTTTATGAACCCTGTATCTTTCCATATAAAAAAAAAGCACCAGGATTGAAGCTATATAACCAGGGAGATTTGTGAAGGAAATATTGAAAGATCCTGGGGCATCGGCAATGGCACTTAGGAAGAAAAGTTGTGACAGTATTCTATTTCAGGCTTTGTAATCCTTTCACACTCAGGGTTGGGTGACATCAGTTTGTAAAAAGTCACTGAATATCCCCAAACTGACTTTTATAAAACAGTAACAAAGTGCCTCCTCAGTCCTCAATAATGCCATGGAGTTAGGAAGAGTTCAAAGAGAAGGCCATAGTTTTCTTAGCTGTGGAAAAATCATACATGTGCAGACTTTGTAAACAATGTTAAATAAACAATTTATCTTTTTTCCTACTCATTTTGGACTTCTTAAACATGTTTTTAAATTGAGATATTTATAGATTCCTAAAGACTTCCACTTTAGTGCAGTGCATGTTCTGTAGAAAGCTTGGCCGACTCATTCTGCCTTACACTGGATTCAGGACCTCAGGGCAGTTGATGACCTTTATTTTCCCAGTAAAGGTATACCTGACCTGGCAATTAAAGATCAGTGAAATTAGAGACTGCCTGCATCAGGAAAAGTTGATTGGAATTTGTAGAATCAGTCAGTAAAGGGCAGCACTTTCACGATAATTTCATTTCCATCTCAATTTGATGCTCTGTAGGAAAACCTCTGCTGGTAGAGGCAGGTAGGATGCCACTCAGTGTGGTTGATTAGAACCACGTCACACAATGTGTACCCATAAACCACCTCTTGAGCAACCTGGTATCTTAAGTGGTTATAAAATCTCATGATTTACCAGAAGTAACAGCCACCATTTATTTCATTGAACTGGGTATTACTATTTGAAGAAAGGTATGTTTTAAACACATACAAGTTCTGAAAGGAACATACCATAACAGATCCATGTGTATTAGTAAGAGAAAAAGCAAGTAAATTATGTGCTGACTCATGTTCAATCCTGTTTCCAAGGTGGTTGTTTCACTGTTAAAACTAGATTTGACTTGTCCAATCTGAAAGATTGCTTATGGGGCAAGTGTGCCTTTTTTTTTTGTTTTATTTTTATTTTTTTGAGGACTAGTAATGACTATTCATGTTCAAAGTACTGTTGCCCAAAGTAGCCTTTGACATTACTAACAGCTCATATTTTGTCAGACAGTTTTCAGGAAAGTAGGTATTATTGTCCCCTAATGAAAACCTGCCTCCTTATTTTATTCCTATAGTATTCCATTAAAATATGGGCTTGTAATTGAAAGCAGCTGTTAGGTTTGAAATAACAATCTCAATTTATTCCCTCATTTGATAATTTGTCTTCAGAGATTTTAGGCATGGAAACAATTTGCTCAGTAAAGATATAAAAATTAAATAGCAGAATTCAGCAGCATGTGCAATTTTTTTTTTCTATAATAGAACTGGTGCTAAGTCACTTCAGTACATTTTTGTCTTGTTTGGTTTGTTAAACACCCTCATGGGGCCTACAAATGAAAATACTGGTTTTACTGAACTCTAGATTTTTTCTCTGTCTGTGCTATGCATATTAGATTTGCATCGGTGTAGGCTTTAAAGGAGGAAAAGAATAATTTACATTGCTTCTCATTCAGTGGCTTAGTAAAGAATGTAATGGAACTAAAACAATTGTAACTCCTTTTTTCCCTTAATGTGATTCTTTGTTGTGATATTAAGTTGTGTAGAATATTTTATCATTATCTTCTTTTTGTCTTATTAAAAATAAGTTCCCTGAACTTTTTAAAATAGGGGTTTTCATGTGTTTTCCTTGTATGTGCTGCTAATCCTGTGAGAAAGCTAAAAGTCTATTAATGCGCTTTTGTTCATTTGTTTAAAATTCTCAGGTAGAAAGCCATATAACCTAGTAATTTTGAAAACAGAACCAAATCAATGTATTTGTTGTAGAACTATAAAATGTTAATTTTTAAATAAATGCGGTTAACTCCACTTGGGGAAGGGTTTCTATCTGTAGTATGATGTGTTCCCATAATGTTGCTCTTTCTGTTCATTCGCATTGTTAGAGAAATATCTAATTTTCATATATATAAATAAAATTGTCAATAGTGACAATAATGGCTATTGACTGTTCATTATACTGTCTTGAATGCTACACACTGGTAATCTTATTTATTCATATTTAGACCCTCTCAACTATCTGCACCCTCGCATAGCCCCTCCCTCACCTGCATCCCAGATGTCCCTTGGTGTGAGTTTATCCACTGGAGCCTGTTCAGCATATCTAGCGTCATGCCCTTGAAGAAGACCAACTCTCCCTCACCCAGCAGTAATCAGCTGCCAGTAGTTCCTCAGCTAAGATTGGGGCCTCCTGCCCATTTCCCCAGTTCTATCCTGGGTTTTTGTCTGGTTTGAGCTTGCATGGGTCTTGTGCATGCTGTCACCATTGCTGTAAGTTTATTTGAACAAGTTCCCAGAAGTCTGCACCTTTTCCTTTATCATAGGAGCTGATTCTGTCAAGAGTTCACAGAACCAAAACAGTTTGTTTTTTTGTATTGGATAAACTGAAATCCTGCTATGATTTAAAATCATCTTAACATTAAAAATTTTTTGAGTTCATACAGATATATATGATCATACATACCTTTATTCCCCCCTCCAACTCCTCCATGCTCCCCCCTCCAAACTTCATTTTTCTTTCTTCTTCTTTTTTTTTGATAACTCACTAAGCTCAGTTAGTGCTGCCCCTATGTTATGGATGTGTAGCCACCCATTGGCGCATGGGAAGCCTACGAGTGGCCACAATCTCAATATAAAGAATGATTCTCCCTCCCTCAGCAACTCTTCATTAAGGGGTAGGGCCTGGACATCACCTTCCCCACCTACACCAGGATTTGTCTAGCTTGGTCTTGTGATAGTAACCACAGCTGCTTTGAGTTCACATCCAAAGGACAGCATTTCACAGCACTCCTCCCCATCCTCCAGCTCTCACATTCTTTCTGCCTCCAATTCCTGTTCCCTGAGCCTTGGTGATAGTGTGGGTTAATATGGATGTTCCGTTTAAGGATTAAACACATGGTACATGTTTTTTGAGACAGGTTCTCACTTGTAGCTCAGGCTGGCTTTGAACTCCTAATCCTCCTGTCTCAGCCTCCTGAGTGCTGGGATTATAGGTATAGGCTTCCATGCTTGACAGTTTTATCAGTGCTATTAAATGGTAGCAAAATTGACTCTGGAATTTCATCTCATACCCTCAGCTGTGGTTGGAAGTGTTAATGTTTATAGATGGCCATAACTGGCCTTTTTTTTTGAGATGGGGTCTCCCTGTAGCCCCAGCTGGCCTAGAACTTGCTATGTAGACCAGGCTGACCTTGATCTTACAGAGCTGGGATTCAAGGCATGCACCACCTCCACCCACCTTAATTAGTCTTTGATCATTCAATAGTTAACTGTATTTGTACATGAAGTAAATAACTGCTTCAAAGTATTACATAACAAAGGCAGAGTGTGTCAAACTCTGAGGACTTTAGAGCTGAAGTGTTTGTTGTGTTCTAAGTGCTCATCAAGGAATATATGGATGCTTGTTCTGAATAAAAAACAAATACACTGTGGTCCACCACACTCCACTGGATAGCCCCATACCCTTGAGTATGTGGAAAGCATAAATCTGACTTAGTAGGTTATAAAAAGAATGGCACATTGTTGGGAGGGGGTGAGGGGTGAATATGGGAAGTTAGCAGGAGGACGGTATGTGGATATGAGTATACATTGCATGCATGAAATTCTCTAAAATTTAATAAAAATATTTAAGAAAAATAAAAAATACCCAAATATTCCTCCACAACCCTAAACTTCTGTAGCACTCAGTAACCACAATGCTTTACCTTGACTTCAGTTTAGAAAGTTGACTCAGAGGCAAAAAAGTCACGAAGTAGCAGTTCAATTCACTATTTCTCAACTTGTTTCCTTCCTTCCTCCCTCCCTGCTCTTTGTTACATAGCTCAGGCTGGCCTTGAACTTATGATCCTATTGCCTCCAGCTTACAAGTACTGAGATCACATGCTTCTTCCTATGACTAAATTTGATTTCATTTTTTAATCACTAAAAAAAATTCTATGAGAATTTTATGCATGTATACAATGTATTGTGATCATAACCATCCCCCAACTTCCCAAGAACTCCAGGCAGCATGTCACCCCTCAACTTCATGTCCTTTTTTTTAAAAAAAATTTTTTTTTGGTCTTGAGACAGGGTCTCCCTGTAACCCCAGCTGTCCTGGTACTCACTACGTAGACCAGGCTGGCCTCGAACTCAAAGATCCACCTGCCGCTGCCTCCCATATTTCCAAAAATTATTTTATTATTTTTTGTGTATGCGTGCATTGCCTGCATGTAGGTAAGTGCACCCATGTTGTGCAATACCCATGGAGGACAGAAGAGGCTGTTGGATCCCCTGGAATTGGAGTTAAGGACAGCTGTTAGCTGCCATGTGGGTGCTGGGATTTGGACCCGGGTTTTCTGCAAGAACAGCCACTGATCTTAACCACTGGAGCCATCTCTCCAGCCCCTCAACTTCACGTCTTTTTTTTTTTAAATCCCACTGCATTCAATTAGTACTGCCCATATGTACATGGGTGTGAGGTCATCCATTGGAGAATGGGTAGCCTACTAGTAGCCGGACCTCCAAAGAAAAATGACTATTCCTCTGTCAGCTGCCATCAACTGCCAACAGCTCCTCAGCTAGGAGTGGTGCCTCATGAGCCCCTCCCCATCCCTGTTGCCATTTTGACTAGCTACATCTTGTGCAGGTTACCACAGCTGCTCTGAATTCATGAGTGCAGTAGCCAGGCCATGTCCATAAGACAGCGTTTCGCAGCACTCTGCCCCATCCTCTGGTTCTTAGGTTGAAACAATTAAAACAAGCCAGACACACTATACTGGGTAAAACCATTTTATTAACTGCTCCAAGTACTTCATTTTTTTCCCCGATTTGAGCTAAAACCATTAAATACAGCTCACAAGAAAATACAACGACTATTTAACTACAATTACAAGAGTTCGAAACCTCACTATTTGTTCATGTAATACTTTTACAAATTTATACAACTGTAGAGTCTACTTAAGCTAGGTTTAGCATTAACCAAGAGTATTATCCAACACCTAGACACTTGACTACTACTTTCGCAGAGACAGGATACCTTAGGAATATATTCTCCTTTAAACATCACTTGGCTAGTGTCACATAGTGTTTTTATGGTGTTTTCTCATTTTTCAGGGGTGATGATGAAGGCTAGCACACACCTGTTCCTTCCCTGTATGTCCCTCCTGAATTTTACATTTGGTCAGACAACCACATAGCCAGAATTGGGAAGCCAGTCTATGATCTTTATGTGTTCATTAAAATTTTTCCAAAGCTCTATTTTGAACGTTCAGATTCTTTTTCCACTCTAATTATAGATCACTGTGTTGATTAGAGTGTGTCTGTCCAGGTCAGGACAAGGACAATAGAGCAGTCCAGAACCATAGTAAATATGTTTGCGCCAACTGCGTCCAGTATTGAATTTTCATTTTGTTACTGGATAGCTCTCTTTAATCAATACCAAGCCTTTGGAACACTGCAGATTTGCTTTAGAGGTATATAAAACCAAATTGAGTAAAATGGGCTTGTTTTTAGAGAACACTGAGGCTAAAAGGTGCTACTTCATTCTTATAATTTTTATCAGTTTGGGGAGATAATGAAGTCTTACCTATCTCTCAGGAAAATCAAATTGAAATTCATCTTGGTCTAACTACAGATAGAAGAAAAACAGTACTGACATTTGCATTATAGCACTGCAGTTCACTTTCTGGGTTTGTGACACACAAACGTATCATGCATTCTAAGACAGAAGTTAAATTTACCAGTGTCACTAGTGATATCAATTAAAAAATTTACAGCAAGTTCAAAACTTCTAAATATCGAAATCACCACGTTTTAAAGACAGACTGGAAGGTTACAAATGATTCTGCAAAATACAAAAATAGATATGCTTCACCAAATGCTTTAATCATTCTTCCGAGCAGTCTCATCCTTTGGTTCTTCATCATCTGAGTACACAGTAGGTTCCTCCCCTTCCTTCAGCAGTTTGCCCACATGATGGTACTTGACTGGAGGTAGAGAGAAAACACAAATGGTTGTTCTCATGTTTTACAAAAAAAATCACTACATTTCATTTTAAAGCATTTGTGAGAGGTCCACACAATATACTCAGCAATGTGGTAGGCTTCTTGAAGGCTAGAAAAGGATCACACCACAGTCCTGCCAACATGGAATCAGTTTTATTCAAAAGACAGAGATACAAAACCGATTTAGAAGAATAAAGACCTCACTATGAATGAGAGGGGTTGCATAGCACTTCACGGGAAAAGGATATGCTTGGAAAATGTATGGAAGGATCTTGGTTAGAGACATTTCCAGAAAGATGGAAATACCATGTTCAAAGGTACATGGGCAAGACTAGGCATATATGGGAAATAGTAAGAACATGCCATCAGGAGAATTGGCATTTGGAAGTAGTAGGAGATATATTTGGTTAATCACTGTGGCGAAATATTATGAAAGACCTGAAAAGCCAGGCTGAGGAATCTGAACTTCACATAGGTGGCAAAGGTACTGAAGGTTTATAAGAGAAAGAATGACACAGCAAAAAACAGTCCTCTGGTGGTATTATTACTGAGATATATAGGGCAGACTTCAGTAAGAAAAGGTGACCAGGGTGACTGGGATGCTGGTATGCAGAGGCAGATGTGAAGGAACCAGAGCCAGTAGTAGGATGATATCTACAGGAATTAAAGCGGGGAAATATGAGTTAATTTCAAAGAAAACTAGAAACATCCATTAACAAAGTGGCAACAACAAGGACCAGAGATGTGAGGTTAGTACTGGCAAGAAGTACATCCCTGGGGATCTTTGAGAGTTCAGTCCAGTTGTAGATAGGTTACTATAGGGAGTAAGCAGGAATGGAGGTATGAAGCAGTGCTCAGGGGCAACTTGGAGTTTGTCAGACAGTGGTGAGACAGAATAATGGTCAAGTATATGCATAGGACAGCAAGAGACAGAGCTATGTGTAATTAACGGAAAAGGCAGATGGTCAGGAGAGGACTACAGATGTTGGGAGTCAAGAGGTTTAGGAATGAAATAAAAATCAGCAACCTCCACATTATCATTACCAAATGAATACAGGGTAAATGTACAAACTCACTGTCAGAAACCAAGAAGACTAAGTTTCCTTTCTGATAAGGGTAAGAATGAGAGTAGTAACCAACCTGTCTGACCAGGTAACCAGAGCTGCTTTTGTGTGAAATCATCATTGGGAACAACAGGAACTTCCCTATTTGAACATAGTATAAAGGTTCTGCGGGAGCCTGGGCCTATGCAAGTCAAATAAAAGCTGAGTGGCACCTGGGGAACCTGCCTAAAGGGGAATTCAGAATAGCTTTGAGTGTAGCTAAGTGTTACAACAGGATTTGAGACTAGACTTAGGTGGGGGGGGTGCATAAAAAACTCACTCTTCTCCCAACTGTTGCAGGAGAGCCCTAGACAATAGAGCTTTGTGAATGATCAGTTATAAGTCATGAGTTTCACATAGAGGACCACCATTACAAATGCAAATATTAGTGACTAAGTTAGACAGCTGAATTATGTTTTCAAAGTACAAAGATTTGCCTCTAGATTTCAAAGCTATATCTGTTGTGCTTAAGATCCAATCTCAAATGATAGGGTCACATCTGGCTAATTATTAGCCAAGAATTCTCTCAGGCCACTCACTTTGAAGAAAATAGATATAGCCAAAAGAGCATGTAATATTTAACTGATTATAGAGAACAGTAAATAGAAAGCTTCTCCTTGATACTCAAAATCTTCCTGAAAATAATAATCATGGTAGTTCACATACTTTTCATAAAATCTAGAAGATTAGTATTCAAATCTGTGGCAGTGAAATACTGCTAACATGATAATTAAACCCTTGGGATTTAGGTTTGACAGAAGCCAATTCCTCAATTCTTATGATTTGAATTTAATCCCTCATTTATACCCCACTTCAAAGTCCTGAGCCTCATACACAGCATAAACCTGAAACAAGGGTCTTTTTCTTACTTAAAAACAAAATGCTGACACCATTGTTGCCGGGCAGATTATAAGCAGCATTTGTAGATGAGGCCTATAGTTAGACTAAAACAGATTCAGTGAAAAGCTGCCTTGCAAAACATGTCTCCCATTCAACAGAGATGTGGGCTGCTTTTAAACAGCAAGCTCTAGAAGAGAGGGCTTATGAAAATCCCTCTTTCTGTAGCCATTAGGGCCACTGTCCTTTGGACATACCCAAATGCTAGTATGGAATCTATACCTTGATGCAAAAACAGAAACACAAGTTTCTGTAGAGGACAAGCTAAAAATTGGCATGCAATCATAACAAGTGACTCAGCACTGCTACAATTACTTTAAGCCATAAACTTGATCCTTCCCAGATTCAGGAGTCCATCAAAATGCACCCAAGTTTCAGGCTGCTTAGTAATAACTATTATTCGATCATGAATTCCCATTACTCGTAGAAATTTGATCTAGGAAAAATAGAAAGAAATGCTTACAAGTGAACTGAGAGTCCCAGTCACTCAGGGTCTCCTGTTGGGCAGGAGTGAGGTCAGAAAGGTCATCATACTCATCCTTCAGTGCTTCTTTGTCCAGGCAAAATGTGGCAAGGCCCCTGGATGCATCTCTTCCAGCAAAGACCCCATATGGTCCCTCTTTAAAAATAAATGAAACCAAAGACAGAGTCTTCATTAGGTAATACATTTCTCTGTGGTTCATATACAGAAGATGGCTTCCTTACTCTCCACATTGAGGATCCCTCTTAGACTTCAAATTCCGTTCTTTCAAAAAACTTCTTTTAATATATTTTACTGATTTGAGAATTTCATACAATGTATTTTGATCATATTCAGACCCCCTCCACCCCCAACTTACCACCCCCATAACTTCATGTCTTCTATTATTGTCTTTAATTTTTTTGAAGGCCTATCGAGTCTAATCTGTGTTTTCCAAGTGCTCTTTGGTGTGCGTCTAGATCAGATTCAAATTCTATTCTGTGATTCTGACACTTTTTGACCATTATGCAATGGATACTGAAAGACTGTTATTAAAGAAGTAAACCTACATCAAAATGTGTAGCACTTTGAATTTCCTGTAACTTGCAAATAGCTAATATAATACATGATTCTTTGGGGGTGGTGTTGGTAGGGACTGATAATACAGTTCATGGGTTAGAATTCAACTTCAGGACTTTGTACTCCTAGGTTCCTCTATTCTAGATACTTGGGCCAAGGCAGTGAAAGTTATGGTTTTTTAACCACTAACGTGTAAATGGAAACATTCCCTTACCAGTGTATTCTGATGTTTTAATGATCTTTCATTGTAAGACTGAAACCCTAAGTGGAGAGTATCAGTGGCTCAAAATTTATCCACACATTACACAACCTTCAATGTCAACAAATAAGAGCTAACACAAAGGAAATCAGTTTTGTTACTGTTTTTGATAAGCTTAAAGATTGTGAAAATACTAAAATTTTCATGGAAAACCAGCTGAGTCAGTGTCCCCAAATAATCCTATAATACCTGGAGAATACTATTATGTAAAGCAGCATACTGAACTCTTACCTGAGAGCAATGGCTCATTCTGTATGCACTTAAAAGTGGATATTTGGACTTCTTTAAATATTGTGCAAGTCAAAGAAGTCAGTGTACTTTAAACAATGTTTTGTGTTCCCAAAAGTAGGCTGGCTAGCAACCCTGACATTAAAACCACTATTCCAAGTAGGAGAATGAATCATATTTCATTTGGTATGGTCACTTGAAACCTTAATCCACCAAATTATTCTTTTTTTACATATCAGATGATTTTATGATCAATTTTTTGGCAGTGCTGGGGCTTTGTACATTCTAGACAAACATTCTGCAGCTCCGTTTGAAAAAAACCCCAACTTTCCACGTTTTTCATAAATGTATATGCTAGTAGAAATGTACCTGATGCCCAAAAACAGGCAAATGATTTTAGTTTGGAATTCACCATTTTAGAAGTTATTGTCTTTGGTCTTTTCCTTACCTAGCAAACCTCACAGCATACTTAAACAAGATCTAGGGAAAACATTCAAAGTCTCTGAAGTATGTATTTTGTTTACCGCAAAACACAGTCACTAGATGTTCTGTAAGCAGAGATGTGTTCTGCTCACTGCTGCATTCCTAGCACCTCCAACAGTGCTCTGCATGGAGTATCAGGCATTGGAATGAATAATTTGGGGGAGTGCTCTGTAACAGCAAATATTTCCATTATGATGTTATCACTGTTCACCGGCCCACTTGATAGAGGAAAGACTTGGAGATCTCATACTGGGCCACGCTTCCTTTTTTCTTTTTCCCTAGGGTGAAAACTAAGGTCCTGAGAGAGCAACACATTGAAGCAGGTCACACAGGTGGTGAGTGACCACAGCTAGGCCAGTGTGTAGATTAACGCTGAGCTGTGTTTTGTGCACACACTGATGTTCCTCACAATGACTTTGCAAACTACAACCAACCTGGGTTTTGAAGGAAGATTGCTTGACTTCCAAGTGTGCTCTGTGCACATAACAGCATTCCTCCTGATGACTTTGCAAATTACAACCATATGAGGATGCCCCCTGCACATGTTCTGACTACTTTATGGTTTAGCTCAGTAATTACAGGTATCTACACAATTGTTTATTGATAATGTGCTACTACAATGACAGGTAATAATGTGGTTTTCAAAAAATTTTGCAGTTATAGGCCTACAGAAAAGAGGTTTTCTAAAATGTCCAAAAGCAAAAATGAAGTGTGAGAGTTCCTTAACAACCTTTGCACATCTGATTTTGATTAGCAGGATTCTGAAGAGTTAAGGAAGAAGCAGGTATGCCTGGTTTGGATTACTGTTAGTTATTCTTCCCTCTCTCGGATGAATGAGCACGTGAACACACCCCCTCAGTTCCCAGTGCTTAGAGGAATCCATATTGGGAGGTAAAATCTCTTCCTCCTCTCCAAATATTATATTCTAGAAAGAAGGACTTTCCAAATCTGGCTGATTCTCAAATTTGTTTACAAGAGAGTATTAAAATGCGCATTCCTGGGCCTCCTTCCTTCCCCAGAGATGCATCTGTTTCTATGGTTGATTAGGCCAGGAATCTGCATGTTTCCCAAGCATCAGGTGATTGTGACAGGCAATCCAGTTTGGAAAAACCTCATCTCTTAAGGATCCTTTCAAACCTGCTCCTTTCCAACAACTCGGCAGTCATCCATCCATTCCTCATTTTGCCTCTGGCTGGCTTTTCCTGAAATCCCCCCTCCCTACAGCCCTCATAGCCTTACCCCTATTGTTTCTGGAGATCCGCCCTTCAGTTTTACTAATTTTTATTTTGTTAAGTTTATCTTTTTTGGCTTTTCTGTCCTCCCTCCCCCATACACTAAATATGGTATTACTAATCAGTTCACCACATTACCATTGTCCACCATTCTGCCTTTAAGGCATCCTCAACCAGTCCCCTTCCGTCTACAGATCCTTGTTCGCCTTCCATAGCACACACATACAAATACCAAACACATGCCACACACATACCTGACGCATGCCATATTCCAAGCACGCCTCCCCCTCACCACACAAACCATATACGGCGGACACAAGCACTGCGCGCATCCAGTTTATACACACACACACACACACCCTCACTCTCAGCCAGGCACACACACACACACACTCTCTCTCTCTCTCTCTCTCTCTCTCTCTCTCTCTCTCTCTCTCTCTCTCTCTCAGCCAGGCACAATGCTCCTACCTGATGCTAATCCCCTTCTTTGCTTTCTTTCTCCCCACACCCTTACATTCCAGCATGGCTTCTCCTGGCGTCATAGGCTTCCGCGTCTTCTCAGAGTCTGGGCCTCTCTTGAGACACCTTCATTTCATTTTCTCGAACCCGAGTCCCACCTTTACCAGGAACCCTGTCACCTTCGAGAACTTCCTATGCCCCAGGCCTTTGAATCTTGCAGTCTCCGCGTCCGTCCCTCCCCGCTCCCGGCCCCCGCCGGCCTCCATGCCTCAGCCTCCTTCGGCTACCCCCATCTGGGACCCTGGCCCACAGCTCCTGGAGAACACCTCTCCTCCGCTACCGAGGGAGCGGCCCTCCTGCAACCGCCCACCTCCAGGGCTGCCCTCCCTCCCTTCTTCCCCTGAGGGGCGCCCCGCTCGCCTCGGCCTCCCCTGGCCTTGCTCCACTCCCTGGCCCCCTCTTTTGTCTCCAGGCCCCCTCGCCGGCCTCCGTACCCGGCCCATAGAACTTGCGGCCTTTGGTCACGTCGAACACCTTGCCATTGATGGCCATAAGTATACGCGGGTCCTGGACGCCATCGAAACGCCTCAGCTCGGCCGGGGTGAAATCTCGCCGCTTGAGGCGGGGCAGTGGGGGCGGCTCATCGTCGTCGTTGTCGCCGCCGGCCCCAGGCTGGTCCCCGCGCACGATCTTGTACAGCAGGAAGATACAAAGGCCGAGCAGCAGCAGGTTGAGCGGAGACGTGAAGATCTCCTGCAGCAGCCCACCGCCTTCCAGCTCGCTCGGGTCGGCCCCGGTCGCCACCACATCCTCGGCAGCCATGATCTCTGGAGCAAAGGTTGGGCCGGGCTAGGCAGGGCTCCGGAACTCGCTGCTTTCTCCTTCCTCTCAACGAACACTGGCGCGCAGAGCTCAGAGGCGGAGGAAGACCAGCCAACTGAGGGGGCGGGGCAGAGAGGGGCGGAGCCTCCAAGCCCCGCCCCTCTCGGCCACCTAAGTACCGGCCGTTCTCTGGCTGCCAGGGCTATGGCTGGGGCCCCCCACGTAGTCAGGAGATTTTTGTCTCCCCTCCCCCCGCAGCTTTGGTCTCCCTGGCCACAGAACGAAGACCAAGGCCGCCTCTCCCTTCTACCTGCTGGGCCCTCACCTCTGTCTCTAGGCATCCTCGCAATAAAGTCTTGCTGACCACGTCACAATGCGCAGCTCTGGACACCAGCCTTGCTTTTGAAGACCTCTAGCTGAGGCCCCTTCCAGCACATGATGTCTGTCCGAACCAGACTGTTTAGCTTGCTATGGCTCTTTCTCACCCCTAATACAAAACCCTTCATACTCCTTCCTGAGGGCATTCCCCAGGACCAGGAAGCGCTCTTAGGATACACAAAAAAGCATAGCTTGTAATTATTCTGCACCTTAAAGACCTACACCACTTGTTTTCACCTTGAGAACATCCATTTAGAAATGTTCCTTCCTCAGTTCTTCCACTAAGCACTGTGGGGCTGACACTCTGGGGACAGCCAGTCAGGTCACAGGCTTGTCAACTCTCAAGATCTGGGGCTCAAATCGCCCAATTTACCTTCAGCTTGTGCTTCAAAAATCTCCTTTTGCAGGGCTGGAGAGATGGCTCAGCGGTTAAGAACGCTGGTTGTTCTTGCAGAAGACCTGGGTTCAAATCCCAGCACCCACGTGGTGGCAGCTAACAACTGTTGGTAACTCCAGTCCTAGTGGATCTGACAGCCTCTTCTGACCTCCACGGGCATTGCACAACACAGGTGCACTTATCTACATGTAGGCAATACATACATACACATAAAATAGAAATAAAATTTAAAAAAATCTTTTGCAATCATTGATTTGCTTAGTCACAAGGCATTAACAAATGTTCTCTTGTGAGCTTTTTTCTTTTTCTATAAAAATATCAGGGCAAGGGGCTGGAGAGGTGACTCAGTGGTTAACAGCACTGGCTTCTTTTGTAAAGGACCTGGGTTCAAGTCCCAGCAACCACATGACGGCTAACAACCGTCCTTAACTCCAGTTCCAGGGAAACCCAAAGTCCTCATCTGATCTCCACTGGCATTGCACGACACGGGTGCCCTTGACATACATGGAGGCAATACACTCAAACACATAAAATAAAAATAAAATATTTAAAAAAGATATCAGAGTAATGTTCAAAGTTTCTCTGCTTGGCAGTATTCTTCTGTTTGAAGCCTGTCACCTATCCTTGGCAGTCATGGTAACCCTGAGCTGGGTGGATCCCTGGCAAAGGTTGGAATTTGGAATGCTCCGAGGCTTGGTTCTTCCTTAGATATCGAGGCTTCTAATGTGTTAACTAAAAGCTGCACTATAGCAGGCTTCTATGGAATGAGGGTTGTCTCTACCCTTCTGAGGCCTAATCGGGCCACCCTTTTTATTGTGGTAGACTGAGGGGAACAGAAAAAAGAGTAAAGAGGGGAAAAATAATTAAAACCAAGCCATGCAAACATCTGCAGGCCAGAGCAGTACTTTTCCATCAAGAGCTCTGTTTGGTTATACATAAGTTACTCACCCTCCCAACACGCAGGAGATTTGAGCAGAGAATTGGCTAACTTCTAAAAATTTCTGGCAAAAACTGCTTTCATCCCCCCCCATCGTCTTAAAGTGTAAGGAGCCAAACAATCTTTATACCAGGCCCACACATTTTTTTTTTCCAGAGCTAAATTTAGGATTAGCTTAACTGGCCCCTTCAGATCTTTTGTCAAAACTCTTCAACTTAATCACTGTGAAATAAGCCCAAACTGAGGATAATTTGAGCTAGAGTTAGAATAAAAAAAGAACTATGTAGAGCCTAAATAATTTTTAAACCCAACAAACTTGTGAAAAATATTTTCATTTGAAAGTAATATGGCAAAAGATTAAAATCTTTAAGTGCTTATTTTAACTGATAAAAAAAATCTTTATGGAGCTGAGGAGATGGTTCAGTGTGTAAAACACTTGCCATGCAAGAATGAGCTTCAGAGTTCTGATCCTCAGCAATCATATAAATGCCGGGAGAGGAGTGTGGCAGTTGGCCTTTAATCCCAGTGTTAGGGACAGGGAGACAGACAATCCCCTGAGCATGCTGGCCAGGTAGACTAGCATCTGCCTCAATAAGTAAGGCTTCTACACACATGCAAATATATATATATATATATATATATATATATATATGTACATAGGCATACCATGCATCATACATGCATACACATGCAAAAAAGAAAAATCTCTAAGATTCTAGTCAAAATGGACAACATGAAGTAATAGAGTGAATAAGCATGTGAAAAATGATTGGTTTTGCTAGTATTTTTTTAAAAGAACATGGAGGTACCATTGTCACCTACCACCTTCCTATAGGAAAGTTTAAAAAGGTAGAAGAGGAAAACATAATCCTGCCAAGAGAGTGGGGAGACTCTCTCTCATATTCTGCTGAGGGGAGTAGATATTTTTATAAACGTTTACCATCCATAAAAGTGTTTTCTATTTGTCAGTCCCACTTCTAGAAATCAACTCTTTGCTCCAGTAATTCCACTTCTAGGAATCCATCCCACTTAGAATGCAGAAAAATATTTCATTAGTAAGATGTTCAGCACAGGTTTATTTTTAATATGAAAACAATCCAAATATTCAACTTCAAATAAAATTCCTAACTAATCCATTTGAATTGTGATCAAATCATACATGGGCCATTCAAATATCATTGTGACATGGAGAAATATGTTTTAATCTTAGGAGAGAAAGTAGGATGAAAATCTGTAAACAATATGAATTCAGTGATGTACCCCAAAATGCATAAAGGAAAGTTTGAAAGGAAGCATGGTAACTTTGTGAATCTTAGTTGTTTCTGTATGCTTTTCTATATTTTCCACAAGGAGCACATGCCATTTTAAGCATTGGAGAAAATAGTTAATTTTTTTTCCTCAAAAAAAGTAGAATGCCTACACATGTTCACTATGACAAACTTAAGAAGTATCTAAATGTATAAAGTAAAAAACAACAAAATGAAATCCAGGCACAAACAAATTTTGTTTTATAAAACTGAGACTAATTTTAAATAGTAAAATATTCATCCACTTTTTTCTAATACACACACAAAATCTAAAAAATAACAGGAAGCCATTTAACAACACTTGCTGGGATTTTTTAAGTTATTATATTTGTTTGAGGTTAGAAAATTCAAACTATGGGCCAGGCATGGTGGCATATGCCTCAAATTTCAGCAGTCATGACATAGAGACAGGAGGATCTGAGTTCAAGGCCAGCCTGGACTATGTAGCAAGACTGTTTCAAGTTCAAACTCTGGGAAGACATAGAAGAAAATTCAATCCCCTCTCCTCAATCTTCATTCTCTTTTCTCCAAGGTAACCACTATTAAAGGTGTGGAAATTATTTGTATGGAGGGCCAGAGATTTGCCATTCAGCTCAATATCTTTCTGCCCCATCTCTGTGTCCCTTTGGGAATGACATAGATTAAAGAAAGGAAGGTTTATTTCACATGGAAGGTAGAAAAATCCGCAATCTAAAACCTCAAGAAGTGGTACAGTTTAAAAATATATCTGGATTGGAGAGATGGCTCAGCAGTTAAGAGCACTGGATGCTCTTCCAAAAGACCCAGATTTGGTTTCTAGCACCCACATGGTGGCTAACAACCATCCATAACTCCAGTTCCAGGGGCTCTGATGTTCTAGCATCTATGGGCATTGCACACACAGGTGCACTTACATAGCATGCAGGCAAAACACTCATACACATAATAAAAATAAATAAATCAATAGCTAAGAATATACATGCTTTCAAGCTAGACTTGGGCTGCTGGTAACACTAGGGTGTCGAGATTATTGAAAAGCATCCCACATTTCTAGCTCATGTTAGAATCATGCTGGATGGACAGGTATCATTCAGGGTAGCAGTTCTCAAGTTACCTAGAAATAACCAAGGATGCCCATGACTGAAAAGCCCTTCTTAGAACATAAGAGTTATATGGCTGTGTGCTTTGTGGCCTGAAATCAATTCCTAGATCTTATGTACTTGACCTGAGGACTACTTATTTCCCAAAAGTGCATGTTAAGTCTTTGGTGATTTTAAACTTCTTACCTCATTTAAATCATTTTCAGATGTTCTAAAGAGCTTTTAAAGAAAGCTAGGACAATTGGTTGATTAGTTAGAAAGCGCATGGGAAACAATTCAACCTCACAGGCAATCAAATCTAAAGAAGCAATGTACCAGTTTTCATTATTTAAATTATTGGAGTCTTCTTTTCTTCACCTTGGAATTTTTAAAAATGGTAACACTTGGAATTCGCAAGCATATAGCATGACGAGTACTCTGACACATGCTGGCAAGAGTGAAAGTGCAAGATTCTATTCTGCCAACCTATTTCCTTAGAGAGTACCTGGCATCCAGGAGGCATGCAAATAATATTTGTTGAACTCAATTATTTGGTAACAGAGTATAGGCTTTCTAGAAAGCCCTTTGGCAATATGCAACAGATGCCTCAAATTACTACTAGCATTTTATGAAGAAATTTAATGTCTAGAAATGGTTCCCATGGAAGTGTTCAGAAATCTGGACAGAGATTGATGTAGAAAAATTGCAAAGCATAATATAGGGAAAAATCTGAAAATAACCGAAATATCAAAAAATGTTTATTCATCTCACAATAAAATCCAAAGTTCTGACAGTATCCTACCAGACCCATAAGATCTGCTCTATCTCACCTACTCTTACCTTTAGGACTTTAGGACCTCACTTACCACTTCATCACTGGTCCCCATGCTCTAGCTACAGTGGCCTCCCCAGTGCCAAGTGAGTAACGAGACATAGTATCAATTCAGAGGTTCTATTTACTATTCCTATTGTCTGTAATACACTTCCCCAGACATCTCCACAGGTCATAT